CTTAAATTGTAATATTATAGAACGTACGTAATTTTTGCTATAGCCTAATTAAACTTTATATATAAAACACGACAATTAACATAAAAATTCATTAAAATATATAGAAGTGTTTTATGTGCATAAACATGCCATATCTCAGACTCACACTGAGGAATCTTAGGCAGGCGCAAAAAAACAAAACAAAAAACAAAAAACAAAACAAAACAAAAAGAAACACTGCTCTTAGGAAAATACTATAAATCTTTAAAAACAAATGTGCATGATTAAAATGTAAGATCAAGAATAAACAGAGTCTAAAACCAATGAACACGACCCAAAAACAAGCAGAGATTAGTGGAAATAATTTTTTATTTGGCAAACCAACTCACCTATTACTACTTTGGTTCTCATTATAAGATCTCATTTGTAGACTACAAATAAAGTCTTATAATTAGGACTGTAAGTAGTATATTTTTTCTATCTTTTTGTTGTTTGTATAATTACCAGTCTTTGGCTAATCAAGTTCAAACCGGAAAATCCAGTTTAGATTAATTCTATAAGTTTTTATCCTAATAATTAGCCCTAACTGAGTGCCTAGGAGTCAATTTTAGTGCTAAACACAGATAAACGTAAAGAAATAAACTTCAGAGTTTAGACGTATAGTTTACTTTCTGCGCAAAAATCTCAGTCTACCATATACAGTCTGGCTTTCCAAACTCCCTTTGATGGGGCAAAGTTTGTTTGATAAGAATACACACACACATAGATATAAGCTTATTTGTGTGGTGAACATTGTTAACAACTGTGAGGATCAATCATAAGTCGTCGAGAGGTCACGTCAAGCCCCATCGTGTATTTTGGGGGCAAGGAATCTTTCATCTTTTTCTAATCTTTCTGACTAACGACTCCAAATTTGTGTCAGTTATGAAGGGGAGCACTTGAGAGAATACTTCTTGGATCGGGTTGATCCATGGAAACTTGAGACAAAGGCCTACATAAATCAACCAAAACAATACTTAATTGCAAATGAAACTGCATATTTAGACTTTGTGTGAAGATATATCTCAAATTTTACAAAGAGATATCACAGAATCACGCATGCAGGAAGCATATAGGGTGTGTGTGTGTGTGTGTGTTAACAACGTTGAAGAACCTCACTTGTGAAACAAAACTGTAGTTTTCTTTGATCGAAGAGATGACACGAATGAGATTTATATGTCATTCACATCCTGCTCATCAGCAACTTCATAACTTGTCATAATCACGACCCGGATTCAACAAGGAAACTATACGTTAAATTCCTCTCAGAACTTGACTCCTTGTAACTTTATGATAAATGTCATTCTTGCTGGTAGGTTTGATTTGAAATTAGTGTGAATGCGTACAGATATCTAGCCATCCAAGACGTGAGATGTGGGATGGCAGTTGGTCAATGACGGCCCAATGTGATGCGCGTTGTAGGGTATATTTTGCAGAATGTTGAGGCACACGCACTGACTTTTATTAGTCATGATAAGAATACAAATGAAATTATTGCAAGATACTCTTCGAAATTTCCAATTTTAAATTACCAAGTTGGTTCTTATTAGTCTCTCACCAAATTTTTAGAGAACACTATCAGTTGATCAACGTAGGAAGATGGGATGAGTTAGATGTTGAAGTGGCTAAAATAAGATGTGACGTGATTTTATAAGGTGTCCTAAGCGGATAAAGTTACATCCCAGGTGGTGCGTCCAAGTTGGCGTCCTACATGTTGATCAAGCCTTTCATGGCAACATGCATGTGACATTCAACATTACATTTAACAAGTGAACCCAAAGCCAAATCATCTAAGGTGAGGAATACCTAAATGAAGAGATTTATCTTCAAGAGTCTACAATATGCATTGAGAGCCCAAATCACCATATATTAAAGGCCTAATATATAAATATACACTTGGAGGAGACAAATTAAGTCATAATCTTCTAAATTTATGCCCAAATGCATATCCTAACTAATGTATCATAGAAATTCATGACTGTAAATAGTCGCATGGTGCATAATAAAGCTTTCGATGTATATATGTATAATTTACTTCGTGCTTCGTGGCACCGTCAACCTTGTCTACCTGACAATCTGGCGTTTAAGATTCCCGTTAATACGTTGTACAGAAATGGCCACTCGCACTGATTTTGAATAAATAGTGATAAGAATAGAACAATTTGTGCAATACACATTGTTAGCAATTAATTGTCAAGACCATGAATTGAGAGGTCAAGTCAATATAATCCTGTCTTTCGGCGAAGGAATCTTAATCTCCCCTCCCAAAAAAAAATTTTCGGACTAGATGAATATGTCAGATATGAAGTGGAGCTTTATTTTTTGCCTCTGCCCCATCTGAGTCTTCCAGGCAAAGATAGGGCCTCTATATATAGATGAACAACACGCAGTTGAAGACATGCATTGAGAAAAATGGGGTATTCAGTGAGAGAAGAGGTGCGGTGGGTGATGGCCATAATCATATTCATATTATTAGGGTTTAATGGAGAAGCTGAGGGGTGCTTGAAAGAAGAGAGAGAAGCTCTTCTGAAATTGAAAGAAGCTTTCAATTACCCAAATGGCTCTTCTCTTCCTTCTTGGAATAACCAAACCTTCTCTGATTGCTGCACTTGGGAGTCTGTACAGTGTGACAACTCTACTCACAGAGTGATAGTAATTGATTTGAGTGACAAAAGAGCTGAAGAGTTGGGACACATCAAATGGTCACTCAATGCTTCTTCTTTTCTCCCCTTCATCCAGCTTCAAGTGTTGCGTTTGCGTGGGAATTACTTGTCAGGTCACCCTCTTTCTTTTAACTATTCTATCATTCATGCATACATATACATACACACACAGTACATAAACATACATTTTTAATTAAGACCGACATTTTTATAAGTATTTCGACCTGTGATTTTTGAAGATGTAAAAGCACATCAGTTACGGTAAAAAAATAGTTAATAATGATTATGATCATATCATTCATTGCCTTTTATCTCGTTCTTTTTTGTTGGTTTCCTCTTTTAGCCTACTGATTTGCCGGCGTAAGAGTCCATTCTAGTTCTAGCTAAATATGTGTGGATGATTTCTGATTGGAACAATGAAACTTTCCGTCCCTCAAATTTGCTTCACTTATTGATTTGGTCCATGAAATTTAATTAATTGTTATAAATCAAGTCCCTAAAGTTTCGTAATCATACAAAATTAGTCATTATGGTTTGAAGATATATAATCCTAAACGCACATTTGCTACCGCTAACCATTAATTCAAGGATGATAAACCCCACTTTGCTTTATTTATGAAATTTGAACCAATTTTTTTATATTTTCTCCCAATAATTATATGTTATATCACTTCATTTATTCTCTCTCATACTTATCTTTTTCTTACTCAATTTCTCTCTCATTTACCATTTTTATTATTTTTGGAAAAAAATATTTCTACGTATTTATTACCTTTCAGTTATTTCAACAAACTATATAATCTACATAATTTAATCAATTATATCTTATAGATAGCATCAGAGGGAATAAAATTGCGTATGAAACTTTAGGAACTTGATTGATAAAAATTAAACCTCACAGACCAAATTGATAACGGAGACAAATTAAATTTGAGTACCAAAAGTTTATTAGTCATTTTTTTAAAAAATATAATCAAGTAAGATATTTTAGAAAATGTTTGAGATACTAAACGTTTTGATTCATGTTGTAAATATTTTTTTAAAAATAAATTACTAGGCAAGATGTTTTCTTGGATATATAGAGGGGCCCAAAACAAGCTTAATAAACACTACATTATCAAACTTTCACTTCATGTTAAATTATGAAGAGGATGATGATATTAACTGTATGAATTATTTTTTATAATTCTTTATACCTACTAACATTCATAGTAACCGATCACATGTTGTTTGTGGGACAGGGCTGCTTGGCGATATCAGGCTCGTGAACTTGGAAGTGTTGAACTTACAATACAATATGCTCATAGAATTCCCATATTTCGGTGCTAAATCTTTGTCTTCTATATTATCCTATATTTTGAATGACATATGTGGTTACTGAAACGTGTATCAAAAGTATATCTTTTTTTAGAAAAAAGATTACCGGGCCATCATTTTAAGAAAAATGCTAAAAGGATTATATAGACAAGGTTTTCTCCATTAAATATATGAAAGTTTCTATTTCTTTTTATCTTGATTTTGTTGGGAAGTCAAATTATTCACCTTTGCCGCATAATCATCTCAACCGAACAATTTATGTGCCTTTATTTAATTGAGAGAATTGAATGAAATGTCAAAAGTAAGAGATAAGATGACGTTTTCTTACTTAGCAGATTCATTATCAATAAATTTTAACAAACACACACATGTATATACACACTAATTAATTTGAAGGGGCTGTGGCTTAACGCACACATGTCCATTTGGCATTTGACAGACCTTTCTCATTCACGTAATCTGGAGGCGCTGTGGCTTGGTGCTAATTACTTGGAGGGCAGCATTCCAGAATCTATTACGTCTCTTACTTCCCTCACCGTATTGACGTTAAGCAATAACAACCTCAATGGATCATTGCCACAACAAGGTACGCATCATATTTTATAGCATCTCCGATGGAAAGAACATAATCCATTAATTGAGTATTTGCCAATAAACATCAAATTTGCTGATAAAAATTTTTATTTTAATCAAACACTCAAATTTTCCTTGTTCGTGCAAATTGAGTTGACTATTCTGTCAAACCGATTTCCAATCTATCTCCTAACTGGCATGCGGCAGTAGTTTGAAATAACGTAGTCAAAACAAATAACAGTTGACAAAACAATAACAACAAGAAGATAGAGCCGTATTTAGACACATGGACAAGCTAAAACTAATAAAAGGAAATGGCTTAATAATTTATTTTTACTCATATTTTTGGGCTCAATGTTGAGGCTTTTTTCCTGGGCCCAATATTAATTTAAATACATTGTTCTGATGAAATAAGTTTAATGAAGAAAAATGGTGTATGTTGCAGGAGGCCTGTGCAATTTGAAGAATCTTTCATTATTGGATCTTAGCGACAATGAATTGGAGGGGCAACTCCCTCCATGTCTTGGCAATTTGACATCCTTAAATACGCTTTATCTTTCACGAAATCGTTTTGAAGGAACTTTTCCTTCCTCACTCTTTCATTCTTTGAGGTCTCTAACAGCTCTTTTGCTTACTGATGACAATTTCAACGGCTTATTTTCACTCTCTTCACTTGCCAACAACTCCAACCTCAAAGTCTTTTCCATTATATGCTCTCACACCAACCTGAGGCTTGAAACAGAGAATCCCCCATTTATCCCTTCCTTCCAATTGAGGTCTTTCAAAATCCGCAACTGTACTCTGAATGAAGCCAATGCTAAAAGAATGCCTACCTTTCTTCTTCATCAATATGACTTGCTACATCTAGAACTTACCAACACAAACATTTCAGGGGCCTTCCCGTCCTGGCTTTTGGCAAACAACACAAAATTGACTTATTTCAATCTGAGCCGCAGCTTGTTCACTGGTCCTTTTGAATTCAATTCCACCTCAAAACTGCTTCAAATGGAGTCTTTTGATATTTCATCAAACCCCATTAGAGATGAAATCCCTTCTCATGTTGGCTTCATTTTTCCCAACTTGATCTCTCTTAACATGTCTTCAACTTCATTGCGAGGTTGCTTCCCAGCTTCAATAGGTGAAATGAGACAACTGAATGATCTCGACTTGTCAGATAATAATTTATCTGGTTACTTGCCCCAAGAATTTGGTCAAGGTAACAATGAATTGAGGTTTTTGAAGTTGTCAAACAACCACCTCAGCGGCCCATGTCTTCCCATAGGATCAAATTTCACATCTTTGTTGTTATTAGATCTCAACAACAATAACTTCAAAGGAAAGCTTGAAGGTGCGGTCATGAATAGTACTGAATTAAGAATGTTGGATATTAGTGCCAACCAACTATCTGGTGAATTACCTAGCTGGATTGGAAACCTTCAACATTTGAGTTACCTCATTTTGTCAAAGAATTCTTTAACAGGTTCACTACCAGAAAGCTTTTGCAACTTGACCGAACTTACATGTCTAGACCTTTCTAAAAATAAATTCAATGGCTCTTTGCCAATTTGTCTAAATTTTTCAAAGTTGAAGTACTTGCATTTGGAGAGCAACCATTTCATGGGACTTCTACCTTCCACTATAGCCAATTTCCCTTTATTGTTGACTTTAAATTTGATGAATAACAATTTTTCCGGTCAACTTTCAAGATTGAATGGCTCATTTTTGAGTTTAAGGGTCCTCATGTTAAAAGGAAACAAACTTGAAGGCTCTATTCCTACCCGTTTATGCGAGCTCAAGAACATCAGGTTATTAGATCTTTCTCAAAATAAGCTTTCTGGAGGCATCCCATATTGCTTGAATAACATCACATTTGGAAAGATAGATGCACCAAGGGAAAAGGAAATAGGACATTTTACTGTGTCATGGACTACAAGATTTTCAAATTTTCAATTTAACTCTCTGACCGGTGAAGTTTCCATACCAAAAGAGAAAGAAAATTTTACACTGTATAAAGACCAAGAAGTAGATTTTACAACAAAAAGCAGGTATGAATCTTACAAAGGAAGCATTTTAAATTTCATGTCTGGGATGGATCTCTCAAGTAATCAATTGATAGGTGAGATTCCTTCACAAATTGGATACCTAGGCAGTATCCATGCATTAAATTTGTCAAACAATCGATTGAAAGGGCCCATTCCAGAAACATTTTCCCACCTCAAGCAGATAGAGAGCCTTGATCTTTCAAGCAACATATTGACAGGTCACATTCCTAAAGAACTAATTCAGTTGTACTCCTTGTCCGTCTTCTCGGTGGCTCATAACAATCTATCGGGAATGACACCTGACATGAAAAATCAATTTGCAACTTTTGATTCAACCAGTTATGAAGGGAACCCTTTTCTATGTGGTCCGCCTCTGCAGCAAAATTGCTTAAAAGCTGGAAGAAACAAGCAACCTCATGATCATTTGGAAGGGGATGACTTTCGAGATGCCTTCTTATGGAGTTTTGCTGGAGCATTTGGGGTCTTTTTTATAGGTATCATTATAGTTCTTTATTTGAACCCTTACATTTGCAATTACAGACTACTCATACTAGAGAGAGCTGTAACAAGTTATTTGTATGAGTGGTGGCAAAATAGGAAAACATTTTAATTTTAGTTCATAGGATTCTGATCATGTAAGAGATGGCCTGGTGATCATCTGTAGAATTACAATAACCAAGGGATTGCTAGTTTTAGGTCTTCTCGTGATCAAGAAGGAAACTAAATTGAAATATTCGAATCATTATTACTTTGTCTGTCTCCACGTGGTCGTTTAGTTCAACGATTGGACTTCTAACGCAGCCTTGTATAGTTGTTAACTATGTGACAAATAGTCGAATAAACTAACTCAGTAAATAAAACAGCAAATGTTAACATGAAAGTACATTTGCACGCACACTTACAATGACAAGTTTTTATTAATGTGCTTTTGTTGTGTCCTTTGGGTATATAAACAGAGAAACAGAGTATGAAGCAGCCTTATAAAGGCTATTCAAATTCACCTTTGTTCACACGCTTTCACAATATTATTCTTCTTTTTTTTAAACCAAAATTTCACAATATTATTCGAACCTTCCATTAAGCTACCTTAGCCGCTGCTGAAGCCAACCCATATTTATGTGTCGTGTGCGTATAACTTGGCAATCTCCTTCTCAAAATCCTTCAATATCATATATCTATTTCGTCTCTGCGTCTCTGTTCCTATCATCAATATTTATTTATGAACACTGCTTTCCAGATTTACTTATAACGCCTTAATCATAAAAGCATGTTGAAGTTGATTCATACGTTTAAGCATGTCTCTACAGTGCAATCGAATCAAACCCAATTTTAGCACCTAACACACAACAGACTGTAACTGATAATGCAAATCTTCGAAGATTCAGCAACAAGTACCATCCAGCTCGTATTTTATATACCCGTCTTTGAATGCGGGTACAATTTCTTTTAATCACTTTTAAGTGGACAATTTCCATCTATCCAGTTTTAGCAGTGTTGATAATATCAGCAGTAAGATTATGGGTCGGCCTTACCTAGAAAACTTAACTGCTTTAAAATTTCTTCGTTTCTTTTCTTTCTTTCTCTCTGTCTTTTTCTTCTTTTAAACAATCCTTGCAAAATCACACCCACAAAGAGATGGTCAATCAAAATATTATCGCATTGATTTGGTGGACCCCTACGAATAAAGCCACAGCCAGCTGCATGATTCTGTTTTCTCATAACAGTAATATTTGTTTATTTATTTTAACATCTTCAGTTTGACTGATATTCATATTTGTAGAATGAGGTTGGATCAGCTTCGGATTTTGATGAGCCTGGTCTGTGAATTTCAGGTTTTAGGAATTATGAGTAATTAAGTATGGTCATTATGGAAAATTTGGTAATAAATATATCTCAAGTGAAAGATGCATTGACTCTCCATTTCTTGCCATTCTGGAAGGATCACTGAAGACTGAAGTGAAGATATTGATTTTTTTTTTTTGGTTTTGAAAATTTCTTGAAATAATCATGTTTAGATGAAGTAATCATGCATCCACAAAGTCATTCATTTGTTTAGATGAAGTATTCCTCGCTCTGTAATGAGATCATGAAAGTTCAAAATACTGAAGTTTTATGTATGCTATTTTAATTCATATTGAGATCATCACGCTCTCTAAGTTTCAGAAGGTGCTCATCATGTATTGTGCTCTGCAGTCTCATATAATTTCATAAGAATATTGCAAACGCATGTTGTCTATATATCTAGATCAACATGGAGAAAGAATAGGATGGAGTATGGAGTGGGCAAATAATTAAAAACTGTTTGATGTATTTTTTTTTTAATTATCTGAGAAGTAATTCATTTTGGACAACATCAATTTTACCCCATATAACTCTTGGGATCACTGACTATACGTTAACTAGCCATTATTGTCCCCTATGTTTGGTTGTGACTCAGTTTTGCTCAAATGTAACTTCCTTGTTAGCTAGTTAGCCATCCTATTTTTCTGACTTTTTCCTGTGGTATTATCCTTGGCTAATCAAGTTCAATTGTAAATTTGGTTTAGATTAATACTTAAATTGTCATAATTAGCCATAACATTTACAAATGAACATGTAGAAAGCTCTATACCTGTAGTTTACTTCTGGCTTCATGTTCCCTTTTCTTTTTTTTAATAAGAAGGATAAACACTGATACTGTTTGAAATCATGATTAAAATTACTTATAAAAACGTTTCACGTAAGTCAAGAAAAATCTCTTTTTACATACTTATCTCGTATTCCATAAATCACGATTGAAAAGCTACTTATAGACCATTCTAAACTGATCCACTAATAACTTGCAGTTATAAACTGGGCCCGGTCGTTTGCTTTCGGTGGGGCAAGGAATTTGAATCTTTTTCTTATTTTCCACACTAAACGACTATATATAAGTCTGCATCAGGTTATGAAGGGGAGCACTATGAGAGAATACTTTCGGCATTAGGTCAAGTAATTTCTAACAACCTTAAAGGTTCATTCATAAAACAGAAGTCATGTTTTCTTTCATTGCAGAAATGACATCAGCAACTTTATCATTCATCTTCTGTTATAATCACGACTTATTCAATGAGAAACTATTGTGAAAGAGTTAGACAACTAATTTACAACTATTAAGAAAATTAGTTAAGTTAGTTATTTGTACTAAACATACATAATAAATAGACATTGTCTTTCCTAAAATATCTTTATTAATATTGTGTATTAAAATAATTCTTGCTAATCATTATAGAAATTACTTGGTGAAAAAATAGATAAATATGATAGACAAAATAAATTGGGTTTTATATTTAAGATCAAATTAAATCTTCAACTAATTCTTATATTAAATACTGCAGGTAGTACATCATTTGTTATAACCATATTCCGGTCGACCGAGGAGGACAAATGCTTATAATGCTCATTGTCTGCATGAGGTTCTTGCTGTGTATTTTCTGATATTATCGTGCTTTGTCCCAACATTGTTCGGTTTCACGGATTGTAATCACACGCAGACCAGAGGATTGATGAGTCTGTGATTTATTATTTTTTAATTATTTCATGAAATTCTATTTATAAATACATAATAATTTTATTTTTTTACAAGTCTGTGCGATCAGTGGCCAATGACTAGATTACACCACCCCGCAACTGTTTGACTGTGACTCGGCTTTCAAGTCTTGGACTCTTGGCCGTTAGCTTTATTGGTTGTGACTCACTTTTCATCACTGAGATTATGGGCCGGCCGCCTATAAGCATACAAGGATACATTCAAATAGTACTGTAAATAAATTGACAGAAACAGGGGACCAGAGAGAGAATTCCTAAGAATGGGACCAGAGAGAGAATTCACACAAATCATCCACACCCCTCTCCCCAACCGCCCTCCGCATATAGCATTGCTTTCATATTGTTGAGATTCCATTCGGTTACTGCTAACAGCATCATGCAAAGGCACCATACTTCTCGGGTGATCATAAGCCACGTGTCCTCTTTGGGTCCCACTAATATTTGGCAGAATCATGACACAAGTACAGGTTTTTGGAATTGTGATCAATTAAATGTGGTCAATATGAAAAATTTGGTAATAAATATATCTCCAGAGAAGAATGCATTCACTTTCCTTTTCTTGCCATTCTGGAAGGACCAGTGAAGACTGAAGTGAAGATATTGATTTTTCTTTTCGGTTTTAGAAGTTTCTTGAAGGAATCATGTCTAGATGAAGTAATCATGCACTCACAAAGTCATTCATTTGTTCAGATGAAGTGTTCCTCGCTCCGTAATGAGATCATGAAAGTTCAAAATATTGAAGTTTTATGCACGTTATTTTAATTTGTGTTGAGATCATTAAGCTTTCTAAGTTTCAGAAAGTTCTCACCATGTATTGTGCTCTGCAGTCTCATTCAAGCATAACGACATAATTTGATAAGAATATTGCGCACACATGTTGTCTATGTACTTGTCTCTGCTTTGGCTTCATACTTCTAAATCAACATAGAGAAAGAGTAGGGATGGAGCATGGAGCAGGCAAATAATTAATAACTGTTTGGCGTATTAATTTTTTATTTATTTGAGAAATTCATTTCGTAAAATATCTATATTACCCTTTATAATCACTGACTATATATTGACCAACCATTATTGCCCTGTGTTTAGTTGCGACTAATGGCTTGTGGCTATAGGTGAGATTAAACCCGTGGCTTTCTACTCATATGAGAGCTTTTATGGCACTAGACTGTAAAGCCATAAACTTCATACAATGATTTTGAATAGTTGTGATATAACTTACAAGTATATCAAGTGTAAGCAACAGTAGTCAAGATCAGACAGTGATGAGAGGTTGGGCCTAGTCGTGTACTTTGGCCTTTGGGGCAAGGAGTCTTCATCTTTTCCTTATATTCCACACCAAACGGTTTAAGTCTGCATCAGGTACGAAGTGAAGCATTCTGAGAGAATACTTTCTGGATTGGTAGAATTAGCTGCCAACAACCTTAAAGCTCATTTATAAAACAAAACTTAAGTTTCCTTTAGTTATTAAATAGAGAGACAGTGAATTAGGGTCTCATCAATTAGCTCTTATATTTAGAACCGGAGGAAGTATATTACAGAAATCACATCAGCAACTTTATCTGTATTTTTTGTTATAATCACGGCCCATTCAACAGGAAACTACGTCATTTGTTAACCATACGGCCGATACAACATAGGAGAAATGATTATTGGTTTGTATGAGGTTCTTGCTGTGTATACTATGGTTTGTTATACCTTTTCTGTTATAATTGCGCTCTGTCCCGACATTATTTGAATAGTCCATCAGATGTCAGATTTCTAGTTGATCAGATTTGTTTCCATGTGTCATAGATTATAATCACACCCAGAACAGAGGATTGATGAGTCTGTGATTTATTATTATTTTTAATTATTTTGTGAAAATCTTTTTATAAATGCTTAATAATTTAATTCTTTTCACTGGCCAATGGCTAGATTACACCAGCCCCCCCACTGTTTGACTGTGACTCGGTCGTCACGCGTCTTGCATGGTTGTTAGCTTTATTGGTGGCTGGCCACTGAGTATGTGCTGTGTTCTTTTAATCCTCAGTCTGAGTCATTTCTCCACAAATGAGTCAACTCGTGTACTGCTTTGGAACGCGGAGAGCAATAAATGAGTCTCCTCCCGGCCTATACATGGATGGATAGAGAGGACGTAGTGGAAGACATATATAGGCAAACAAGGAAGCTAATTAAGCATACTGAAAAATGGGGTATCGTTCAGTGAGATCAGAAGATGTGTGGTGCGTGATGGCCATAATCATGTTCATATTATTAGGATTTAGTGAAGAAAGTGAGGGGTGCCTGAAAGTGAGGGGAAGTCAGTTGGTATTAGATTTATTAATATACTTATCTATATATTTGCCTTCTCCTATATAATCACCTCAACTCAACAATTTGCGTGTCTTCAATTAGATAATTAATAATTAGTCAGACTTTAGAAATTCTTGAGAATATTGGGAGTTGAATAAGATGACCTTTTTATTATATACTCAGCATACATATGATGGAAACATGACAACTCATTAAAACATTTTATATTTATATATGCATAAATGCCCCATCCAAATACCTTTTACTACATAAGCTTGAAATCAATTTTAGTACTTATCACGGTAAACACCTTAATGCTCATTGAATCTTAACTATTCAGATTTGATATGGATGGCTAAAATTATACTTAATACTTTTAAATTTTTTTTTCTTTCAATAGATATATAATCCAAAATAAAGGTAATATCTTAATAGTAAGTTTTTTTAAAAAAATAATTTTTTTATTTAAAAATTACTGATTAAAAATTTTAAATTTAAACCATTAAAACTATATCTCAATAATTTAGATTTCATCACAGTGAGAAGTATCATGGTGCTCATTACTGAGATCAGCACCTTCCACATATGCCCCATGTGTGTGTATATTTATTGGGCACTCGCTTAATCTACAAATTTCCATTTGGCATTTGGCAGATCTTTCCCATTCACGTAATTTGAAGTCCCTGTTGCTTGATACAAATTACTTGGAGGGTAGTATTCCAGAATATATTACGTCTCTTTCTTCCCTCACATAGTTGACATTAAGCCACAACAAACTCAAAGGGTCATTGCCACAACAAGGTAATACGGATCATATTTAATAGAATCTGCGATGAAAAGAAAATATTAATCCATTAATTGAGAGTATTCGCCAATAAACATCAAATTTGCTGATAAATTTTTTTATATTTTAATTAAACGGCCAAATATATTTTTCCTGCTCGTGCAAATTGAGTCAACTGTTCA